TAGACAAGTTTATTTTACAGTTTGGTTTTCGAAGCCTCAAAAATCAGGTCATGACACGACACCTTTACTCACTTTTCTCGAGCTATACAAGTGTGAATGTTATTCCTAGAGATAATCAACCTAAGTTCTTTCGACATGATTTGACCCCACGAACCTAATTTTTAAGAAAGTTTTCCAAACTATGGCATAAGACAAGATTATTCGAAACCAAACACGTATAGCGCAAGAGTAGCTAGGGTTGTTTGGTTTGATCCATAAAGCAAACAAGGAGTGGAGGAAGAGGGGGTGAGCACTGACTACCTGGAAGAAGTTTCAATAATACACTACAGAATTGAGTCCTAAATTTAATACCCACAACTGCACCACCCTGCTGCACGTTAACCCCCCCTTCAACAACTGGAACCCCATTGGGGGGGTTATGTACGATATGTCGTTTGTGAGCTAAGTTTTGTAGACCCTCACAGCTCCCATGTTGGCCCTCTACCTATACTTCCCCCAATCTTCAATTCTGATAGAGACGACTCCATAAAAAAAACTAAACGTCTATACACTTCTGCCCAATTCTATGCCCTCGCCATGTGGGTTATTTATGTGCATAAGATGCTTATCATACTCCCCATGACTTGACATTCGAAATCGAGATATGTACGAGCTTTTTATGGCAGCTACTGAGTCTCGTACCCAAGAAAAATTAAAGCCTTTGGTAGCTACGGGTAGCTAAAAAGCCTCCGTTCATACAATATGCTTCTCGGTTTTTGATAGTTACGAACGCAATGAAACTTAAAACAAATCTGAAATAGTTAATAATTTCTATCTATACCACCCAACCCAATTTTTTTTATGGATGGTCTATTCATAAAAACTTTATAATTAAACAGTTAACTTATAGTTACTATCTATACCATTAAGGATCCTTTTCGACAATAAGTGGTCCATTCATTAAAACTTTAGGAATGGAACAGTTGTGTGGTCCAAATTGTGGAGAATTGGGGTATTCTTATTAATAGGTAACTCCTAAGGTTAATAAATGTTGCAAATTTACTTTTTTACTTCGAAAATGTAATAATTTTTATTTACAATAAGCTTTTTTTGGAAATTAAATTAAAAAAAAAAAATAGTATTATTGTATGCTTTTAATAAACATATATGGCATAGAAATGATTAAATTAATAATAATAAAAAAAAAACTTTTAAACTTTACCCTCCCAAAAATATCCTTAAAAACATTTTAAAGTTTTAATAATAACCTTAAATTAAAAAAAAAAGAAAATCTCAAAAATACCTCTAAACTAAAAGAAAAAAATTAAAAAATATAATTTTAAACGAAAATTGTTAATATTTTATTTCAAAAATATCCTTATCGCGAGTACACATTTCAAAAATACTAATTAACTTTCAATATTAACACTAAAAAGAAGATAATTATGAGGTGGGGATGGGCAGCTTCGGTCTAAGACGATAAATTATTTTTTTTTTAACTTTCTTTTTATAAATGATAAGCATGTTAATGCTAGCTCTGAAATTTATAGATATTTTTAAAATATAATATTAAAAGTAAAATAAAATAAAAAAATTGAATTATTTGAAAATATATAAAAAGTATTAATAATAATGGTATTTTTGAGTTCAAAGATTATTAAAAGTTAAAAGATATTTTTGAAACACCAAAATTAATAGTAAGGGTATATTTGAGATTTTTTTAAAAAATTTTAAATATATTATTGAAATTGTTTATGGTCGAGAGATATTTTTTTAGACAAAGTCCAATATTTTTATTAATTAAAATTTTAATTGGGGATGAAAAATAAAAAGAAAAAGAAAAATACACCAACTAAGTTAACAAGATTTAGTGTAGGCCAAAACTATAGGTTATATATTAATTAGATTCGATGTGATGGTGGTCTCGAAAATCATCCTTATTATATTATTTTTAGTTATAATGTATTTGGCGGAATAGCCAACCAGTTATGATTAGCTATTATTATAATAAACATGAAATTAAAAAAAAAAAAAAAAAAAAAAAAAA